TTTTACGTAAAAAAAAAAAAAAAAAAAAAAAAGAGAAGAAAAAGAAACGGAGCAATGTAAGCTTTATTCCATTTAACCATCGGTATCCAACGATTGTACTCTAGTAATTACATCTGTTCTTCAGTTTCTCCGATTCCTTTATCTATCGCATCGAATATCTCGATTCGTCGGGGGAGGAACACGATCGAGCACAGTGAACGCGGCTTTTTATCATCGTCGCGGTCCCCGGTCGAGATTTTCGAAGCTTCCGTACCATCTCTCCTCCATCCGTTCCTTTCTTTTGTTCAGACCCATCGATCGTTCGACTCGATACGACGGGGAAAACGAGCGGTTTAGTGGCGCGACTCGATTAACCGATTCCCAGTAATCATAGTGAAAGCTATCGTCGAATCTTGGCGACGTACTTCTGCGAGAAAGAAACTCTACGGACTCTTATCTTATCGTCCGTTGCTCTGGTCTGCGTCTTTATCGCCTTTCTCGTTCTAAACGAACCTTGTTTGTTCCTCAGAGGCCGTTTCGAGAGTGTATCGTAATCGATGATCGATTAATCCCCGCGGAGGACGCGCGCGTTGCTTCGTTAAACGCGCCTGTCTTCCGGCGATGGCTTTTCATTTCGATAAAAGCTTCGAGAAACGTTCCTCAATTCTTATAGATCTCTACGATTGAAGTTAAACTTGATCGATGCTTACACGGAACCGTATTATATATTTGCGTTGAAAGGTGGGGGAATTTTTGTTGGGCTTGTGAAGGAAGTGTCTGACGTGAAAATATGATCCTTCTTCGACGGCTTTGGTTTTATTTTCTGGTTTGTTTCGGCTTCCAGAGCTCTCAGTCCGTATCGCTGGAATATACAAGCGGACGTAGATCGATCATCGTATCGCCTTGTCCGCTGTTTTTCTATGGGGAGATTGAAAATGGAATCGTTGAATTAGGGGGAAGAATAATTAGAATTAATTTAGACTGTTGGAAGAAAGTTGCGGTTTCGATAAATAGAAGAAGCAGTAGATAAGAAACGAAGACTGGACGAATTTTTGATAAATAAGTCTCGGTTAATCTGTATAACTAGCCTTACTAATAAGATTATAATTTTTCTACCCGAATTGTTAATTTCGCGCAATTTACCCGTTGCACGTGTTTCTCCATAATCCACCTACCCATTGATTAATAAAATAGCAACGTTCACGCGGTGTCTGCGTGATATAAGTAAGAAATGTCAAGAGATAAAATTTCAGCCAACACTCGTAGCTACAAAGTTTTTAAACTTTCCTTCATCACGTGGTCGCCTTTCTAATGAAAGTCCGACGCGGGTCTCCGTTTCTTTCAGTGGCGCGCGTGCGCTTCCATTCTAACTCGGAGAAATTAGAAAATTAAACAAATAAAGCCGGAGCGGCGCCGCTTGAGCAAAGTGTTCCACCGACAACACATACAGCTGCATATACATAGATGCAGAGGCGCAAACTTCATTCCGTGGATATTTCTAGCAAAGTTAGAAAGTTACTGTAGCTTCCCTTTAACTCTTTTCAGCTGGCAGCAAGTTGCTCGGTCTACACATGTAGGGTTTGAGAATTAGCAACTCTCCGGCGAAAAACGAGACAGCAACGAGCGTGCTCGGATGAAACTGTCTGAGAGAGACATTAAAAATGTACGAACGAGTAGTCGAAACGTTAAATGCAGTGAGGACAGTTTTTTCTGATTTGTTAATTGAATTTTGGGGACTTGTTGAAATTTTGGTATACGCGTAAAGTGGTTGAAGGAAAGTTTGATTTTTATCAGTTGTTGTTTGATTATGAGAGAAAAGTACTTATTATAAAGAGGTGTAAAGTACTTATTATAGCCACGAGCTAGACAAATATTGTCCGAATTAAATTATTTCATTTTTCTCAATCAATCTAAAACCTGATCGTCCGAAATTTTCCTCGTTCATTCGATTGACACCGATTTTTCGCACATTTACGAACAGCATCGTTCGTCGAGCGACTCGCTGATGGCTCATCCGGGGAATCGATTGATTCAATTCAGCCGGTCCACTAACCCGATCGATCTGGCAGAGATTAGGTCCGCTGGCTAAGCCAAAATCCAGACGGCCATAGAGCCAACCCGGTGAAGCTGCCCACCGATCTCCAAGCGCCACCGCGTTCCTCGCGGCAGTGAAGTCGAACCTCGACAATACGCTCACCGAAATCTGAAAAGGAATTTCCGTACGTTAGTTGTATGTATTTGTATTATAAAATTTGTTCCCCTTGTCAAGCCTTTCCTTATGTTGCAAATTTTTCTTTGCACTTGCAATGCTGTTCGTAATTAATTTCATATATGTATCGATATAACAAATATAATAAAATACAAATATAATGAATAAATGTAAAAATATGTATAATATAAATAATAACGACTACGTGTTATAGAACTCAAGAATTTGAGAAAAGAGTTTCAATTTTACTTTGTCTTAAACAAGTTTTTAACAAAAAGATCTGCCAGAATATGGGCAATTTCTATTGATACAGTCTATTTAACAAGAATGTGAGTGGCGTAATTTAGTAACTGTTCGATATGGCAGTACAAATCCTATTTACTATATATTAAAACGCTTTCATATTAATAATCGGCTCGACCAGCACGATTGCCTAAAATCTATAGCATTAATTTCCGATTAATAATAAAATTAGCTAACATCGAATTTTAGGACTTACATCACTGGAATAGCGATGTTGTGGTAGTTGAAAGTAAACCGACCAATAAAACGAAATTTTTGAAACATAATTAAACATAATGAAAACAGCAAAAGACTATTGTGCTTATAACAAAGTATAGGTATTAGAACAGGAAAACCCCGCCATTTTACGTTCAGCAAGATACCAATATTTTAACAATAAGTAATATGGTGCAGATAATTTCCAAAGCGATGAGAGAGATCGATAAAAGACAAAACGGAACGAGGACATATAATGAGGTGCGGATTAAATGTAATGTGCAGTGGAAGGGGTGATAGTGGTCATCAGTCGAGGGAAACATTAACGTTCCTTATATTTCATATGTTATAGGTTGAACACTGCGCGTCATGATTCTGAGAATTCGTGGACAGCTAGCAAGACAAAACTTGGAAAGTTTAGTGGTCAGTGACCAGGGAGGCGTGGAACAGATGATAGTGGCCGTCAGAGGGAAACATTTATGTTTCCTTATATTTCATGTTATATTATAAGTTGAACTGTATAAGTATTCGCGACCAGTTAGCAAAACAATTGGAGATATAATATTCACGAATTTTTACGTTGATTATTTTATCACATTATCTTGTTACGTTATCTTAGTCGAAGGACATCAGATTTTAAAGAATTTTTCTTGGATCAGGATAATTTGCCGCGCGAGCTTTTCTTCGCATAGTATAACATCTTGTCAATGAAGGTATAATGTCTAAGATGGTCTTGTTAGATTTCATAGAATATTTTTGTCGGATGAATACGATCGAGGGTTGAATTACTAGAGCAACGAAACGATGGAAATTTGGCGTGAAAAGCAGCCTTTCACCTTAAAATATTACGCGTTTGCGGGCTTCGATGACACGTGGTATCATCGCGTCCAGGCAATCAATAATTCCGAACGAATCTGATAATCCACCGCTATTTCAGTCCGCCTCTCGTCGACTCGCTTGCAGCTCTCCACTGTCGCGCTTGTTTATTCTAGATCCGCGAATAGCTGCAGCGATAAAATTGCTGCTATCTACGCTTGTAATTTTTCATTCGATCATCTGTCAAAAAAGAGCTTTGGAAAATCCGCGAATTACGTCGACTTAATCCCTTTGGTCATTTTTCTTCAGCAGATTTTTAGGAATTCCCTCTGTTTAAATAGATCAATATTTGATTCGCAGCGTAGAAAATCAAATATAGTCTTTGACATAAACGTATTTAGAAATTACAATGGAAAGAATAATCTACGTTGGTTCGACGTTGTCCAACGATCATTTCGATAACAAATTTGATCCATCGTGAAACGCACTTAATCCCAGCCATCCCGATTCGACTAAGCAATTGTTTGCGCCGGCCGGCGCGTTATTATTGATTTACCTGTAACACAAACAGAAACGCGATCAGGACTACGGTGGAATAGAGCGTTCCGTTTAGCACGCTCTTGATGGCGACGAGACAGCCCCGAGGGTTTAGGCTGTCGTAAGTGGAGTTTTGTTCCGAATTTGGCAGCTGAAGCGGATCGTGATAGCACGGACCCTTTACGTTGATTCGGCAGCAACTCCACGGCACCACCGGCGGTGTCACGCGACCATCCACTTTCGCGTACCTGAAACAAGATTCCTACGTGTCGGATCGCCTCCACACGTACAATCCATTTTCTCTCTTTTACGTTCCTCTGCTTCTCTAGCCCTCCTTCTTATCCCGGTCTCTACGGTGTCGTTCAGAAGAATCGTTATACTTTGGTAGAAACGTGTTTCCAAGATGTTGGCTGCTACATCAGTACAGCTGGACAAGGGAAAGATGGTTATGCCGTAAATGGACTGAGTTTGTTTTAAGGAAGTGGCGATTTTGAGTTGAGGTTTTTCTTTTGCGGGAATATTTTTGTCCCCGATTATGAAAGTAATATCAAAATTAGAAAGTAAAAAAGATCGTTACGTACGGTTGTAGAGCGATTAAGAAGGGAGTTAAAAATTAAAAGAAATTGTCACGTACTTTCGCAGGTACTGACAAACGCTTCAATTTTTTTCAATTACTTCTTGGATAGTCATAGCAAAAAGCCAGGATCAGTGGACGCCAGGCGTAGGAAATTATCGGGGAACGTCGATAGCGAACATTAAACGAGCCACCGATTGGCATTCCGCAAGTTGTTGAACTTGCTAATTCGAACTTGTACGCGAACATGTCTGCGAAGTACAGAATGAGCTACGAACCGTGTCGCGTACCCTCCTGGACCGGCGACACCATCTCGACCGTGGCTTTTCGTGGCAAGTTTTCGTGCGAAAAGCGGTCATCGACCACAGGACTTTCACGTGTCCTATACGGTGGCTACGTTCGGGTAATTAAACGCGGTGGCATCGATCTGCGGCTTGAATCGGTTCATGGACATCGATAGAGGCGAGCTTGGATTTCGCGATGCGAAATTAGAGAAAGATCATTTCGGAAAGTTGCTTCCATGAATTATAGATTCCGTCGAGAGCTAATCGGATGTAGGAGTCTTTTCAAAATTGCTGGCAAATCTGGGATCACTGTAAGAATTCTTTAAGGAAAGAGCATTACCATCGTTATAATAATCGATATTTTTGAAATGTACCTGACAGATTTTTAGATAGATAGATTTTTAGTACTAAAGAAAAAAAAATGAAAAGGCAATATCGATAACACGATATTAGTTGCAAAACTATTGCGAAAAGTAGATTTTAAATTAGATTAGGTATTTTAAGATGTTTCAATTATACAGGCTGAAAGCGTCGATAAGGAATTCAAGAAACTCTTGCCTTAAAATTTAGGTATCCAGGACGTTCGAATAATCGATCGAGTAAAATGGTAGTTCTCATAATTAAAACGATGTTATATCACGTTAAACCGTTAACAAAGAATCAAAGAAACGACTGTTTTGAAATTTAGGTATCTAGGTCATTCGAGCAATCGAGCAATCGACCAAGCGAAATGCTGCCTCTCATAATTGAAACGATGTTATGTCACGTTACACCTTATCGAATTAACCCGTGGCGTCAGCCATTTTGTCGCGTGCATATGATATAATCTCAATGGATTTTACGAGATCAACGTGGAGAAGGGGGTGGTTGACGCTTGGGGAATAGTTGCGGCGACGAGGAGAGACCCGGGGCTCGATCCTAGTGGAAGGTATAATTCTGCAATTAACATAACGAGAAATCGATAACCCACTGTTCTATCTGCGATTACCAGCCACGACACAAAGGCTTCTATTCGGAACGCGCTATTAACCCTTTATTATCGAACGTATTACCGCTACCACATAATGCACACATACGTCAGCCTACAGAAACCTAACTATTAGGCAATTACCGCGAAACTACTCTAAGCAACGCGAACTCGCCCCGACTGCATGAATTGTTTCATTCAAATGTTTCGCATCCGTTACTTCCGCTTCTCTACTCGCAGCAAGCAAAATTCGTTAACCTCAACAATTCCAGGTATCAAGCGCACGGTATCTGTACCAAAAATCCTAAAGATAGTTTGCTAACTGTCAGAAATTTATTACAATCGGAAAACTCTATAGAATAATTACAGAAAATGCAAGATTTTTGCGGAAATTTCTAATTTTTAATTCTTCGTTGGACGCTGATTCGAACGAAGAACATTGTTGCCAGATATTTTGCAATTTAAGCGGTAATAATGATCATGAATTGTGTACTTCGGCATTCCACAAGGCGATCGATCTTCACAACAATCGAGTTTGAAATACGGTAATTTGGTACGGTAGAAGTTTTACAAAATGAAACTAGAAAATTATAAATATACAAAACGATGTCAGAGAATTAAGGGAAATACGCGTATCATTAATTAATTATTCATGCATAAATATTTATTTTCACCTAATGTACCAAAAAGAAGCACATATCGCCTACAGAATGATCGCGTAGCGGCACTCGACAGCAAACTTTCCAACGGTTTCTGTCCTGTGATTTGCTACACAGAGACCCTATCCTTCGGACAAGATGATTGCCAGATCATCGACGGAGCCGAACGTACGACGACCGCGTACGACAACATAGACGCGGTGAACACATCGCTCCGCGTACTACCGTTCTGGCCACACGATGTTACACTGTGGTTCGCGATGCTGGAAGCGCAGTTCGGAACTGCCCGGATTACGGGCGACAAGACGAAATTTCAGACCGTTGTCGCGAATATTACCGCGTCGCACGTGCAGCTATGCGCGTGCCGCCGGGACATACTGCTCGCCCCGCCGGTAACGTACCACGACGTACGCCGGAGGGTACCTCAAGAAGGAGCTCATTAAGAGATTGGGGGACTCGGACTCCAAGAGAGTGCGAAAGATGCTTGAAGATGAACACATAGGCGATAGGACGCCGTTCCAATTCTACCGGGATCTAATAAATCTTGCCACCCCGTCGACATCGAATGACTTTATCCTCACGCTCTGGGAGAGCTGACTACCGGTACATGTGCAACACGTTCTGGACGCCATGGACGAAAAGAAAGCTGAAACGCTAACCCGGATCGCCGATAGTATACACAAGATCCTCCCGGAGGCAGGACGGATTGTCGCGGTCAGCGCAGAAAGAACGGCAACGGACAGCGAACGACTAAACCGCGTCTTGGACGCGATGGAAGACGCCCTTTACGAAGACGAAACCGGAGTCGTCGTAGATCGACTTTGAGAAACAGACTGCAGCAGTTCGGACTCTGTTACTACCACGCGACGTTCCTAGAATGCGCGAAGAAGTGTCGTTCCTCGTGCACCTGGAATACGGGAAACGGGACCAGCCGTTCGTAAGCGCGGCAAGCGACGACGGCCTAGTATCCCGCCGCATATTCGTCATGGACAGGCACTCGAAGATCTTCTTCCTAGTGGACACCGGCGCCGATATATGCGTATATCTGCGCAATAAAATACGCGGACCCGCGAACAGAAGCGGATCGCAACATACGGTACCATCGTGATTATCCCGAACCTGTCCCTAAGACGAGCCTTCAAATGACGCTTTATAGTAGCCCATCATCGGCAGACTTTTTGAGCTGCTATGGGTTGCTCGTGGACCCGCGGAACAAACGACTCCTCGACACGACAACCCAATTGTCATAAATGGGATACGCTGCCACGGCCGACCAAATATCAATAAAAACCATAATCAGTGAATCAGTTTACCATCGACTCTTGGTGGAATTTCCGGACCTAACTCGTCTATCGGTTTTCGGGCGAGAGGAATCTCGACACGGCAATCGCAAGCTCTACGCAAAGTGTACATCGAAAGTTTGTTAATAAATATATTGTTAACTATACTCTAGTTTTTCTTTAGCACATATCACGACTTATCCACCTCAATCCAATATTAATATTCCGATGGCCAGACATGCCAATCATCCTCCTGTGTGATGTAATCATATCGCAAACACGAGACATATAATTTTAACGATATGAAATAAATATCGCGGAAATGATAGTCGAAATTTATTTAATATATTCACAAATTCTCATATGGATATCTAGGTTGGTTTGAAGAATATAACGGTTCACGACCTCGCTTAAAAATTCCTCCATGTTACATACAACTTTCTTTCTAAAGAAACAAACAAATCTGAGCGATCGAGGAGCATTAACGTGCAACATTTCACCGGCCGTAAACCATTTCTAAATCCAGATGGAGAATGCTTTCGCATGGGCGTAACGTGTGGCCGGTAAAAGCACACACGAAGGAACCCTTAGAGGGTGAGTTAGGTGGGCCAGACCTGAGGTGAAAGGCCCTTTCCACGGCGTGGAAATAATCTGGCCATGGAAGGGCACTTTGCCGAGGAGCCAGCAGTGTTTTAAATCCTTTTCTAGGAGCATCTCGTGGAGGGCGTAGAATCACGTTTCATCTCCTTCACGCTCTTCCTTGTGCTTTTTCTTCTTTCGATATACAGGGTGTTAGAAAAAAGTGGACGATATATTAGGTTCATGTAAACTAGTTGGTGGAGTGCAACGAATCACGCAGGAATTAAGCGTAATTTAATCAGCGGATTAAACGTATGATGATATTTTCAACGCACGATTAAAGTTTGAATCCAAAGAAACATCCTACGTGCATCAACCTATAAGTATAAGGCGTATATTTAATAATCAAGACCACGAACACGTTCTTTTAACACAACGTATAGTTTCATTAAGAAATGGAAACCTCTGAGAAACAACGACGTCAATGTAGCGAGTATGAACAGCTTTGCAGAATCGTGGATGGCCGCTTTAAAATCGTATGACGGGACCATCCCTCTCGGTCAACTACTCCCGTTAAAATTTCGTTTCTACGCGGTGGGAACGCGTATAGTCGTAATTAAAATCCTGGCATACTTTCTGCGTTTCCATTAAAGTTCCTGGAAAATTTGTTCCTCGCCGTTGGTGGACAGAAATGGCTTGGGTATTACGTGTAATTATTGCGCGGATGCTCGTGGAAAAAATGTTACCAACACGATGGGATGGGTGTCGTGATTTGTTGAATTTCAATGCGCTTGATCGTGTGATTTCTGGTATTCTATTTTATATTCATAGAACAGTAATATTCTCCTGTGTTTGCCTGCAATTCAGGTTAGGGTTCATGTTCCATTCATAGTTTTATACAGGGTGAATCATGAATTATTTTACATTCTTTTGTTGTCAGTGAAGCGACTGGAACTCTTTCCGTGTCGTATCATATAATTGAAACGGGTATTTGGGACGATTGGAGTTCCCTTTTTATCAATCCTGCTTTTCCCAAGAAAATGAAAATGATAACAATGAAATTGTAACCTGTTCCCGCTCAGCTTTTAACTAATGTTTAGACAAGTTTCCGTAACGTTAAACACGCAGCATGCAAAATATACAGAATAATAAAAATATTAAACATATCAAATAAATAATACATAGTAGGATATATGTATGAAATAAATAATCGAAAATATATAAAATAACGAAAGCAAAATTCCATTTTTTTTTGTTACGTTTATAAAAATATGGATTTGTACGGACATTAAGTTTGCATTAAATTGCAGTTCGTATCTTTTCGAAGAAATTCAATTTCCGGTTACAATTTTAATTATAATTATAACACCGTATGAATTCTTATGATAACAGTTTAATAGCCATGATAAAATTTCGATATACTACTTTCTTGGGAAGATGTTCCACTTGGGTTAAGCAGGATCACTTCCTTGGAAGTAACACGACTATCGTAAGACGATAAAGCTCACATTGTCCATGAACCATGGTGGAGGGTAGGTGAGAAGATAATAGTCGATAAACTCGGATAAGATATAGATTTTATGGTGTATCCGATCGATAGGTGCTATCGACCCTCGATTGTCTTGACATAATTAAACGATAATTACCTCAAGATATCCGGCGAGTCAAGCACAAGAAACTCCCGTTGCAGCCAATATGTCTTGTGCCAATCGTCGGACGAATCTATTCCACAACACTGCATGTTAACCTGCATGCTGTCTATTTTTCGCTTCCATGACACATCTGTGAAGTATCTTTTCATACCTATTTCACAGAATACGGAGAATTTTGACGATGAATTTTGATGAATTTTAGAAGGAACTAATTCTTTAGAATACGATCAAACACGATTCATTCGTATTATCTTAAAAAAATCATAATTATTAAATGGCACTAAAGGAGAGACGCAAATAATATTTAACCTATGCATGATGATTGAATCTCCCATGGATCACCAATAAAGTGACTCCTGGGAACGAGACATACGGTGTATGAAAAAGAATGGAAGAATCGTCGGGCGTACATGAATCTCGATTATTCTCACACGAGATGGGACGGTATTCTGTGGAAGCGCCGACAAATTCCACGGAACGGTGGCCGGTAGCCTGGAATATTTTGCATTAGCCTACGACTTTCCGATATTTTATATCCTATCGAAGGAATTTGTCGAAGTGGTTGGATCCGTGGAAAATTGAAATTTTCATTTTCATTTCGCGGTCGAGACCTTCGGCGTATTAATTAAAAACCCATGATCGAAATAATCAAATGTCGATTCTAGTTAAATACTGGCGATTGAAGGTTCACGCGAGATCGAGCAGTTTATAGCGATTTCATTAGCGGTTTGGGAGATTTCAAAGTAACCACGTGGATCTTTCCATTTTAATGCAAGTGTAGAATAACGAATACAAAGATTCCCCATAGATAATTTTATTTTATTACAATTCTGTTTTTTTTATAACTTTGTCATGCTTCATTCTACATTTATTTTGTCAAAGGAAGATAAAGAAATAGTAAACGCACGAAGATCTTCGTATGGTTCGCGGTTCGCGGATAATCAAAGTAAAACATATGTTTATCGTGGACCAAACAACTGTTAATTCGATCACCACGAAACATTTCACTAGTACATTGTTTCTTTTTGTATAATTTGTCAGTGGTATTAATGTTTGGACTATTCTGAACTCTGTCATTACCACTAAATTCACGAGATACAAAATATACAACACATGTCCTGCACCATAAACGATTCTTCACCAGCACTCACCCAGAAGCACTAAGTCGATCGCGATCTCCATATCTCTCACAATTTACAGCTAATTAGGGTAAATTTGCGTAGAGCACGCAGCGGAACGCGACGCATCAGCCTGCAAGTTTATCGGGAGCAAACGTTTCGAATTTCGAGGCCCGGAGCAAGAGGATCCACAGAGTCACGTATCTATTCATTAAGTAGCTAGACACCAAACGAGATTTCCATCGGTAATTTCGAACGGGACAGCCGGTGTGCGTCGCGTTCGACCGTCGATTTGCATATTACATAGTCGGATACTATTTCGCGGAAGCGCACCGTTTCCACCATCTGCCTGCCATATTGAGACGACACTCTGCTGGATCTAGCGTGCCTCGCGTGCCTCGTATACATCCAATCTTTCCGCTATTTTTCTCTTTCTTCTGTTTGCTTTGTTAAATATTCAAATTCGGAAAAACGACGGGCCAGCGGAAAATGAAGAAGGGAGAGGAACGTGGAAGGGGAAAAAAGGATAGGCGACAACGGATAGGCGTTCACGAGGCGATCACGCGGACAAAATGAATTCGCGTACAGCCACCTGCCGATCCGCGAATATCGCTCGCATACATCGTTTGTCGATGAATATTTCACGATTCCGGCGTTTGCCTCGGTTTCGCTTTGTCTTTCTGTTTTCGGAAAATGGGTTATCCGCGCTCGGCCACCGACGAATACCGTTTGCCTTGCTTTCGTTTTCGTTAATGGAGTTATCGTTGGCTTCGTGCAACGCCTGCGAGCGTTTATTGTTCCAATGGATGGAAATTAGGGAAATCGCGAAGCTCGAAGATATTATAGATCTGTTTGGGATTAATCGTTCGGCGAAGAAAGAAAATCACTCGAGAAATTAAAAATTTAGAAATGAAGACAAAGCGATATAAAACCGGGAGAACTCAATGTCCATAAAAAATAAGCGGCAGAAAGTAATTTTCCAGTTAGAGTCAAACCAAATAGACATAATCGATTTTTCCCCAATTTTCCCTCCCCAATATTATTTTAAACTCTGGAACTCACCCTCGTGAAGAGTTTGCCTAAGTTGAACCGTTAAAAGATCCGCTGTAGAGAAGCAGATGCTGGCCATGAAGCAGCCAACGAGCACCATGAACAAGCCTATCAGAGTCCATAGGAACAGTCTCAGGTTCATCCCTGGCCTGAAACAGACGAATCGTCCGTTATCGCCAACTGGATGGCTTAATCTATAATCTTTATTTAAGACAGCCTAGAACCGGTCCATTTTTAACTCAGCAAGGAACCAGTCACGATTAATTTCGTCTTCCAATTTTCACACTTTGATGCAAACACGGATGCGTCTATGTGCGTGTACGTGTGTGAATTGAAAGGAGGCGGAAAATCATTCTAACCACCGACTAGATACCGCGGAGATACATTAACGAGCGAAAGGGTAATTAAAACAAATGAAGTTTGGCGGAGTATCGGTGGAATTACTTGAAAATTCTGACAAATCGATCGGCCTTCGGCAAGCGGCCGTTTTCCAATTCGTACTCGGCCGGTCGGCAGAGAGAAAGAAAATTAAGAAAAACACGCTAGGGGTTAATTCTCCGGTCGTTCTCCAACGAGGTTACGCTCGAATCCACTTTTCGCCACCCTCTTTTTCCTCCTAGCCCTTTTTCGTTGTCCATTTATCGTTTCTTTTCGTCCCGTCTATAAAGAGTCGAATGAACTGGATGTTCTCTTCGATCTTCGTTGTTCAGGTTAGATACTTTTCTTAGACTTAGATGATTGTGAAGTTTAATCGATAAATTCGTTGATCGATATACCATTGAGATTTTTTGTCAATTTTATTCGACGAGTATAGCGCAAAAGAATTCTTCACTTTTCTGAAAATATATACTCTACCATATACGTTTAACGTTACTTGTTTAGATGAATTTGTTTAGATTTTCACCATATAATTTTACGTACATCCGATTTTCTTCGGGGAAAAATCCTAGTTTCCAATTTTTTAGCACTTTTGTCTCCATCTCCCACGGATTTTGTATAATAGCAACCGAGACGCACATTGTGCTCGCGTAGATCCGATTACAAGGACCAATTGATTGTATTCACGCACACTCGACATCCCTAATGAATGCTTCAATCCGCTGAATTTCCGTTCGCGGCGCGGTTTCCGCAGGGAAATATCAAGAATATCCTGTCGTTGTTCTCGTTAACTAATTTACGCGAAATCACAGCTTCGATCCGGCTAATTCGCAATTTGGCCGGTATTGTACCACGAAATTTAACCTTCCAGCCTTTTTCAGTCTTCTGATTTCTCTAATTGTACTAATTCGCGTACCGATGAAACGTTCAAATAACTACATGGAAACGTATTGCGGCAGAGAACAAAGTTACAAATTAATTAATTACGAAGCTAAAGGGATGACACTGTGAAGAATTGAAATACGCGATTAAATCGAAAAATTCTCCGAACCTTTACACATGCCACAAACATGTTCAACCTACTAATTAATACGTAAATTTGTTATGGACAGAATCGACATAAAATTACAAAAAGCGACAGAATGTAATTTGAAAATTTGTGTTATGACAATAATTGGTTTACCGTTACATTTTAGTATTTCTGGAATATTTTATCATAAAATTAAAATTCGAAAAGAGGTTACTTTTTGGTGATCCGTTTTCGAAGCCGGTACACGTGCAACGAGTGAGCAATTTGCAGAAAAATGAACTTATCTTTCTTACAACGTTTCTCTTCCACGAGGCTATCGCAAAAACCGAAGAAATTAAAGGAGGAATGTCGCTCGCGGTACCTTTGATCGCGTGGATGTTGTGGGTCGTTAATTAAGCCGCGATGTCATCTTCTTCTTCGTGTACACTTCGTGATTGCGCATTTCCACGTTGAATATTGTAAGTTAGAGTGATGTACGTTGATTACTATCACGATTACTTATGTATTGCGTACAAAATGTTTGCCAATGTAACGATTACGAATGCATTTTTAAAGGAAAATAAAAAAAGATCAAGATAAGGTTACAGACGATATAAATGAGATTATATACGAGATATGAGACAGACAATGTAGACGATGTAACAGATGTAAATTACAAAAGTACCATTCAATTTACTTCTGTTAGTCGTTTTAATATTCCAGAAATTTGTCAAAAAAGCTTCTCAAATGATACAAATTTTCTAACCCAACTGCAAACGCTATAAACCAATCAATTATATTCTTAATTGTATCATCGATTCATTAATTATTCATTAATCCCTAGAATCCATTATATTAATAACTCAAGGATTACATAAAACAATTAATTTTCTGAATATAATATACGAATAAGGAATAAAAAGATTAAAAAAAGAGCATTTCGTTAATTATGTCACACGTTTCCCCGGTACAGAAGGCACAGAAAAGTGAAATCTTATTAATTCAACTACAATTACCCTTCGGCATAGTGGAAGTAATTATAGCACAGCTTCACGCCCACCAGATTATGAGCGAGCACGTAAAGACCGTATAACGTCAGGGTTTTAAACACAAGCCCGGAGAGATTCTCGTCGTCGAAGCGCAGTTTCGTCGCAATCACGAACGAAGCAATCACTCCCATGAAAAACAGCAAGAATCCGATAAGAAGACTCGCTAGAATCGCGAGCACCACGTATCGATGCAGATATTTCCTCTGATTTTTCGTGAATTTTATATCGAATACTGCCATTTTAATAATGTCACCGTGTTTCCTTTCTTTTGTCCCATCAACGCCCTCTCGTACGATTTAATATTATCGGCGAGTTTTGTTTCTTTGATAATTATTAAAATTAGGTATTAAAATAGAAATCAGTCGTCTATTTGAAATTGACATGGATATTTCTATTCACTGGAAGAACCATGGCTATTCGGCGTAAAATAGAATAATCCTGTTGTTAAGAATATTGTTAAATAAATTATTGTAAGAGAAGCCAAGGATGACTGGAATAAATCGAAACGTGGAAGGACCTATAATCTACATCGTCGTCGCTAATTAGTCGTTCCCATGTCGCGTAGTTCGTTCAGAATTCTGGCACTTGTGTCGAGGCCGGTTTGCTGCCGTGTTAAGGATCCGGAATTTCCTCATTCCTGCGACGGAAACTGTACCCGCCGAGGTATTTCTATGGTATCTAGGGAGTCTTCGTAGTGAATCGCGTCCACGTCTACAGGGTGGAACACGCCACCTTACGACAAATCCCTTAACACTTACAGCAGTTCACAAAAATATTCCAAAACTTACGAAAATCTTTTATGAATGCGTTGCTTATGTTATTGTGTACCAATGAAATTTCAAAATGTTTTATATAACACGTTCAATACGGACATATAAGTTCTTTACGGAAAACATTCAAATACATTCTTTAATTTACTACGTGTATCTTCCATGCATTCAAGTCTCTCCTGTTTATTTCACTATCTTTGTTTATTCCTCTTTAAACACAGTTTCCAATAGAAATTATAATACTCACTCTATAGTAACTTTACGTTAAGCAACTATTACGATATAAAGAATCTTGAATTTGTTTCAACGTCGAAGAAATAAAGCCACGGAAACTTCCAAGAAAATTTTAGTCTTCTGCTATTACCTACTACATTAAAACTACCACTTGCGTGAAGGTTAAAACGCAAATTTCCAATATGCTTAAGCTATCGAAGTTTCTGGTGGACGATGCAAAATCGTAGGATACACGGTAAAAGCGACGAATTGAAGGGAACACGAACAACGATCCTCCCTTTCTCTTACACATTCTCCCTTTCTCTCTCTCGGGGTGAAAATCGTTTAAAACGCGCCGAAAGTTTTTTAATTCCGCGAGAGGATCGTGCAGCCAGGGTTTTTCATTAACAGAAACTACGAAAAATCTGACGATGGGCGGCTAGCAACGGCGTGCTGGAGGATTACTTCCAGGTCACCCGGTAAGTGCTAACGCGCGATACCAGCGTTGCTGTAACGGGCATCGTTGCAGGACGAGAAGAACGAGTAAACGAGGGAGTATGGAGGCATTCAGTGTACTCAAGGGTGGAAGTTGCGAAACGTGTACGGTCTCTCGCCTTTTGCTCCCACCCTTTTCTGTTGCCTATCAAAACAGTCGTTTCGTACGGAAATTTCACTATCCTAGTCCGAATGAATATTAATTCAATTCCTCTTGTATCTGATAAAAATCTCAGCGTACACTCCGGTGGGAGGAATTCGTTGTTGCGTGCAATCGGATGGCAGAATTTTATTTCCTCTTTGTTCGTGGCCACGACGTTTTAATTAATTTTTCCCTTTATCGGAGTGACCGTATTTATTTAGAATTTCTACGTATCTTTTAGCTATCGTATCGGATCGAGGTCTTTTTTATGGCCATGTTACTGGAAACTGCAATGTTTTGGAGAGTAGAATCGAATTAACTACCCATCTCTTTCAAATGGATTATTTAATTCTTAATACGTGGACACGAAATATTAAAAAGACAATGCGCTCTACATATGCTATTTGCGAACGATTTTTTAAAATTAATTCCATCAACAAACGAACTTCTATTAATCTGTAACAAAGTCAAGTTAGAATTTGTAATTCTACCTGTCAATAATTATTCCAACAACATTGAAAATATTCCAAGCAATCATTCACATCGAAACTCTCGATATTCGATATTTACGTCTTACATTTCATAGCACGTTTCGATTAATCGAACGATCTACTGTGCCTGGTCGTATCGATAGCCGCAATACCGGTTGGAAACGGGGGGTAAAAACCTCCCCTCATAACCGCGATAAATTCATTGACAATGTATGGCCACGGCGCGCCTCGTCCCTCCGGAATAATCAATTACCACAGGATCATTAATTAACTGGGAAAAGTGCAACGATTTAAAGGCAGAGTAACGATGCAAGTACGGTGCCACGGATGAAAGAGGAAGTATAACTGGATGAGCATAAGACGCCCTATAATGAATCACCCTCAGATGATTCAAGGATTTAATGGGAAAATATTTTGTGGAGATAGTTGAAGAATTTTTTTTTCGAATTTGGAAATTGATGCGATTATGGAATTTAGCAGAAGTATCGATTAAATAAATATTTTGCGAAACGTATCGTATTTCTTTAGAACAGAGAATTTTGATTCGATTACTATTTATCTGTATCTACATAATCTTAGACTTTATAATTATTTCTAGAGTG